ATATATATATTAGATGTGTGTGTGATGCAATATTTGAAAGACAATTTTATACTTTTTTACTGCGAAGTGCAAATAATTACATCTTTGCCCAATTGGGTGTATTTTTACTAATCTTAATGCTCTGAAAGACCCTCAAGTTAACCAATTAACTCAACTAGCAGTGATTGGGATGTCCTTAGAGTCACAGTAGATATTTTCATCAAAATCCTAAACAAAAGTATCACCTGAATGTTAAAAGAGCATAAAAAGATGTCAGGATTCTTTTTATTCTGCTGTCATTAATAATAAGATTCATCATGATTCAAGGGAGTAAAGGCAACATTGGTATTAAACAAATATGGATTCACAGTGGTTGACATGATCCCCCATTAGTCAAAGGGGAAAAATCAGAACATATTGAATGAGACCTGTTTGCCTTCGCCGACACGCTGTTCTACAGCTTCGGTTTCTGATATGCCACCTAAATTGGTTTGTATTTGACTGTTATGCTTCTGTTTGCTAAAGGAGATAGACACCCACTGAGGCCTGCAGCAAATACCCAAAGGCCCCTGAGTTGGTTAATCTCTTCCAACAGATGCATGCTATTGCACACACGCTCACTGTAAGCGGTACAGTCAGCAGTTTCACTTGCAAAGCAAGTTTGCGCCTGGGCATGTCTTTCAGTTCTTGACTCTTAAACCAGACAAGAGGTTGCAGTTCTAAGATCAAACATGCACACATTAGTCATTTCTGCACTATAATAGTCCCATAGGACCCATTTGATGCCCTACTTTAACACTGTTATAGCAATGATAACTCTTTGTTGTCATTTTTATTTGTTAAGGTAAAGATGAATGGACAAGAGGCTGAACTCTAATCAGATATTTTATTGAAACTTTATTGATCACTTCCAGGTTTCTGTTGTCATTTTCAATGATATTTCATTCTTTTCACTTCCCTATAAGTTACCTGCTTTTTGATTATTTTGTTCGCAGAATGACGACATGGATCAGGGAGGACCACAGCACAATGGTAATCGGAACGACAACCTTACATTTGTAGGACTTGGACCGCAAGTAGTTAGAGACACATTGGACACACCCGATTTACGGCTTCAATCTGCAATGCATCTACCCGGTCCAGGGTCTATGAATCAGAGCACAGTAGCACCGAATGGACGAGGGGGAACCAAAGACGAGGGGGAGCACTCGGGACTCTTTGAGTCAGATAAGGAGGGTAAAATGAGCAGGATACATAAGCAAGAACAGGATCTATTCAGCTATGGGGACAATTTGCCTTTGCTGAACCAGAGTATTTCTGACTTTGATCAGATGCCTGCCGCTGTCATTAACACATCAGAAAACTCTGTTTTGGGCAACCTACCTTTGCCAGACCTGTTCTCGCAGCAAATTAAGCAGGAGGGGACCTTCTCTCTGGATAAGGAGTTAGGAACTTTTGGTGGACAGACAGGGGCTGCTGCTTACAATTTGGATGACAGAAGCGCTCCAGTACTGGATGATGCAGATATCTGGCAAGATCTGGACCTTCCGAACTCTCTGCCAGAAATCAGTGCTTTTGAATTGGATTCAGAAGTGGCACATTTGGATACTATCCTCCAGGAGAGTAGCGGTGGTGGCGGTCCTGAAAAGTCCCTTTTGGGTAACGGGGCAAACTGTATCGGTTTGAATGGCGCTGAGCAGCAGCAGCAGCAGTCTCCACACCCCCTGGTACAACATCAGCTTCAGCAGCAGCAACAACCTCCGGCGATGCTTTCCAGTGTCATCATAAAGGAAGAGAAGGATCCCGATTTCATCCGCATCCATACCCCTGGTGTGGTTAAGCAGGAGAAGCAGGACGGTGCCGGTTACTGCCAGTCCCAGTGTCTGCAGAGTAGCATGAGCCCTCTGCATGGAGTGGGAAACATGTTGTCTCCCATGGATGTTGGAGCAGGAACTGGATACCACTACAGAGCCAATCCTGGTACAGTAGGCATACAAGACCAGAAGCCTTTTGGCACGTACCAAAACCTGCAAGGAGTCGGAGAGAGCTGGGTAGGTGGGAAGAGGTATGGAGACTCCTCTGGAATTCAAGGCACTAGTGATCGCCTCTCCTCTCCTGGAGCTTTGGGGAATTTTTCCGTCGGATTTCCAAGGTATGAACAGAGATATTTCTCCAGTCCACCTTTGGTTTGTCTGTTTTCTGTTGGATTTACCTTGCATTAATGAGCTTAGGAAAGGTTTGATTTCTCAGAATTCAATCAATGAAGAATGTTTTTTCAGCTTTGCTTCAGCTTATGACACTCTTTAGCGAAGTCCGATCACTCCTGGGGTGCGGGGCATCTGGCGCTTATCACCTCCCAACGGGCAGAGCCAGTTTGACACACATTCCTCTGATTTATTCCCATTGTGTCACATTTTAGGAATGCCAAAGATGAACTTTAGGCCCTTTTTCCCCTTTTGTAATGTCAGAGGTCAGTCATAGTTGGAGAACTAGTGGAGACAGATTAGAAGTTGGCTACAGAAAAAAAAAATATATATTTTTTAATCTTTGCTTAGGATTTACTTGTGTTTCATTGTCATTGTTTTAAATTCATTCGAAACTCTGCCTAGATACTACCCAAACAAAGAGTTTCCGTTTCATTTGAAAGATTTAACAGTTTCATAAACCGCGACGTACAAGTGAAAGGCCTTTTTTTCTTAAATCATATTTTTGTGACATTGGTGAAGATGCAGCAAGGGTTTTTTTTTAACACAAAGGAAATGAGCTCTGTGAGAAAGTTGAGGAAGTGCAACTCATTAAGAGGTGTCTGGTGGGCACACCTCACTCTCAGCCCTGTTTAATAACTTTTCAAACACTGTAGTGGAACATTTGAAAAGAGAGAGACTCATTTTAGGCTTTATGAGGCATTTTGTGACGGAGTTGAGGAGAGTAGATGACGAGATGTTATTTAAACGGTGCTCTGTAATAATGCCTCGTTACATTCCTTTAGGTTTGACAAAGTGATAGATGAACAAAGCGCTCAGCTTCTGTTGGCTCTTAATTATCAGGCTAATATTTGCCGCTGTGTCAAACTTCCAGATCATAGGTATGACATTGTCTCTTTGATGCATGCATGCATGTCACTCATGTGCTAAACGGAAGCCTCGTGATACAAGATCTAGCATACAGAGAATAGAAATGATTGTAACTTTGCATCGTCTACAAGGGGGAAACGTACTTTATGATAACTTAAGAAAAGTGTCAGTTTCACTTTATAATGGCATTTGCAAAAGAAATCTAAACTAGTCGCTTATGTCCTGATTTATTAGCTTCTATATATTTAAATTAATTTTTTTTTTTTACTTCGAAAGCCATATATTTGACTTTTTTTAATGTTCTTTTACTGATCTATTGTTGTTGCCTTGGCTTAGACAGACTATAAAGTATGAATGCATTCCTGTATGAACAACTTGTAGTTTTAGGTTCGAAGTACTTATTATTAAATGTTGTATTTTGTTGCCGTTCTGCTCTGTGCAGTATAACACTAGGTGTATAACATGCTCATACTTGCTGGGCAATTACTTGAGCTATCTGCTAATTAAGTAGACTGTCTAAAGACATTTTAAAAAAAAATATAGACCTTTCTTTGGAACTAATGGGAGTTAACTGGAAAAATGTTTGAGTCTTTCAAGCAAAAGGTTATTTCGACCATTAAATTAGCTTTGTTATTGGTGGCCATATTGAGATCATGCATCCATATATTAACTCAAATCCTCCAATGTACTTGAGATCATGTATTTCAAGGGCTGTAAAAAGAAACCTCGGTAGTCTCTGGCTCTTGGCTTAGAAATGTAGCTGCAGTAGTCCTGGTCTCAAGAAATCACACATGTATGCAATGTTGTAATGCAGGGTGCATTTAGGGGACATAGCCTGAAGAAGCTTGCACCATGATTTACTTTGTGCATTTCATTTAGCACGAGAACAGATGTACTTAAAAAAAATAAATAAAATACATGCTCAAAAAAAGTAGCTTCTTTGCAGGGGTGACTGTCCTCTGCCTTAGAGAAAGGCTAAGGAGCTCAAAGTGGAACTTTTGATTGCTCACATCAAAATCAGTCAGTTGGAGCCTCTGTTTGATGGTTTTTCCGAGCACGTCCCATTGAGGAGAGATCTTGGGCAAGACCCAGAACTGCTGGAGGGACTATATGTACAATCTAACCTATGAACATCACAGGATCACAGAGAGATGTCTGAGTGTCTCTCCTGGACCCTTTAGCTTAACTTTAAATCAGATAAGAGAGAGGCAATTTATGGAAAAATTGATGGAATTGCATAAAAAATCATAAAAATCAACATTTTCCAAATTTATAGCCATGAAGAAAAATGGAAAATAAGAAAAAATATTTGTACTTGGGTTTGATTCATGGAGCCGTTCCTAATACCTTCATCTAGTAGTTTGGTAATTGGTAATTTCCCAGCTGTTGGTCTTTGATCCCAATGCTAGGTAAAGCTCTGTGAATACAAACACATAATTAACTTAAGCGTATAGATGTTTTAAGTATTAATGTGTGGAATTAGGAGGGGGGATCTGGTTTAATCCTGCAAGGTTAAGATCAAATGCAATATAATCTGCTCTAACTTGCGTTATATGTCATATGCGTCTTTCAAAATACATCAAATTAAACTCAATGTGGGAACTAAAACAAAAGTAACAGAAACCTTTATTACATTTAAAAGCCCTTTGATTTCCTGCTGCTGCATGTCATTTCATCAAGCATTAGCTAAAGGATAAAAAAAGCCTTGCTCGACTTAAATTAGAAACGTAAACAAAAAAGTAGAAACATAATAAATGTTTTGTTGACAAAATGTATTCTGATCTAGGTATGTTGATATAAAGAAATCAAAAAATATAAAACAAATTTGAATCAGCTTAGCAGAAGCCTTGATTATATTTGATTTTTGGAGTAAAATAGAGTTTTGGAGTTTAATACATGCATAATGAAAGTAAACATTAAGGCGTGCTGCAGCTGAAATCCGCTTAAAATAATTATTATTTTCTTAACTTTTCTGTTATCTAGTGTCAAAATATTCAGGCTATTTCCAGACTCTTGTTACTTTGCTTTCTGCATCGTTGAGGGCTTTAAAAGGGACTTTGTGTGTGTTTGTGCGCACACGTGTCCTGCATGGCCACGTGTGCAGGCCTACAATAAAGTAAAAGCTGCCTCCTGCTCTACAAACTGTCAACTGCTGTTCATTATTTTCCCAGTTATAATGAGCACCTACCTGAGCAGATTTTCAGCATACCTCTTTAAAACCCATTATAAGTTTTTCTTTTTGCATAACTTTAAGATTGCATGGAATGGGAAACTGTTAAACATTTGTTTCGTAACAGAACTTTAATGGTAGAATGTAACACTTAACCATCATAAACAGCATTTTAAAAAAGAGGACGTAATAAAGAACAAATAAAATCACTTTCTGCATTACTTTTTGTTTCATATGCCATCATGTTGAGAAACTCAAATAATTTTCCTTTCTTACAAGTAGTCTGCAAGGCTGCTATAAGGACATGCTTCTTGTCTTCCCATTTGGTTGCTCCTGCAGCTAAAACAAATCCCATATTAGTCATCGAATATTACAAAAACGGAAACTTAAGGCGTATAAACTATAAAATGTCTCCCAATCCTACATTACCAACAATAGATATATATTTATCCTAAAAGAAACAACTGGCTTTTATGTCTTAAACCTTAAATCCTCAGTTAATTCAGTAGCTAACCCAGAATAGAGGAAATATTAAAAGTATCCAAACAGGCTCTTAGCTTTGCATGCTTTTTTTTTCTCTAGTTGCTCTAAATCTATGTCTAACAGATGTTTGGTGTAAGGATTTTTGCTTGCATACATGGTAGTATGCATATGACATTTGGAATATAATTGTACCATTTTTAGTCTTGTGTGTTTTGAAGGAAATAAAAATATTTCTTTATACAATAGCAATTAAAAAGCAGTACGGTTGAGCAATGAAGGGAACTGTTGCCTTTTACTATAACTGTTGCATTTGAAAAAACATTTCCTTGGCAACATTCGGAGCCGCTTGTTAGTTTTTGTTGTAGTTCTGAGCCGAAACATCTAAAGCTGCATATTTTCACATGTTGCTGCTTGTGAAGACTGCAGATGTCATCTTGTAAGACCATGCAACTGTATTTTCAGAGTTTGTACGTTGTATTATAATGGAATGATAAAGTAGGCCTACCTGATGAAGACGGTTAAGATGGCATCTATTCAATCACAATTTTTGTTGCTAGAAATATCTCCTTTGATTGAGTTATTTTATCATTACAATTTAGGAGGGATTTATAAAACACCATTTTAAATTTTTTGAGATGAAAAAAAAAAAACGTAAAACCCTTTTTTATATGTAATCTATTGTAATTTTATCGTAGGTCTTCCAAGCAAAGTATCAGGAAACCCTGTGCTGGCAGAACTAGGTCAATTTTGTTTATTTAACTTTCTTTCCTGATTTGTGGATCTCATAGAGTTTGCCAAAGTTAACCCGTGTTGTTTGAGTTCCTGTTATATGATATGTTAATGCATTACCTTCACTGTATGCTGGAATACTCCGCTTATTGCCCATTATTAAATCTTGTGTTTTAGTTTATAGTTTCACTTTTACCTGCTCTTTACTCACTTGTCAGCTCCAAATATCCATTTCTGCCTTTATATGTGTTTTATTTGATTGTTTATTGTGAATGTTATTATTCAGACATTTTTTCTTTCCATTTTCATTTTAGGAATTAAGTATTATATCACCTATCCTGACAGTATAAGAATCAAGAAAAAAAAAAAAAAGCACATTTTGAGAGTTTTTAAGTTTACTAATAACCCCTTGGATGAGACTTTGACAGCCTATTCCCAGTCTGTGGTGTCCAGTTTCCAATAGTGACTTCTCAAATATTCTAAAATTAGCTTCCACAAGGTTTAGGCGTGTGTTCATAGTTGGACAAAGATACCGACATTGCAGCCTCTGCTTTAATCCATCCAAAAGATTCCCAATTATGTTGAAGTTAGGTCTCTGTAAGCAGATAAACCTGATTTAGGGCTGCATTTTACGATTTTTTTTTTTTGTCCCCAGTGTCCTGTCTGGCAATGCAATAAGAACAATTGTCTTGATGC